CCACTCCACCCCTGAGACTGGCACGGGCGGGGGTGAATAGTGTCTAGTCTAGTGTGTGTAGAGGACTAGAGAGGTCAGTCTTGCACCAGCGTCTAAACGTCTCTGTTGTGCATCACTCGGCCGTTCTTCATGTTAAAAAAATTGTTATTCAAGTTGTTTATATTATTCTTTGAAACATTAATTTCATTTTTACCGAAACATCAGCGTTATTAACAGCATAGTGTTTTCAATAAGGAGTATTTTCTTAGTGTGCATTATTACTGACATTAAAGCTTCATCAATATAACTCAAGCTCAATTACATAAATATATTTTCATGGTGCGTCTACAGTGCATACAGTGCATTCAGTTAAATTCGGTTCTTTCGTCATTGGATCGCGCATACAGCGGATAAGTGTTAAGTGTGAATACAGTGACCAGTTTTTGATCTGAAATCGGACTCGTCGACACGGAGAAAGCTGCTATAGGGATGCCTGTTTTATTGCCTGTCAGTCAACCAACCCTCTTCAAGTCCACTGCCTTTGTCCATCCACTGCGTCAACTCTGAAGGAGGCCAAACTTTGTCGATCGGAGGCGACGTTGTCAGGAGTGACCACTGACCACAACCCCTGGCTTCCCGAGCGCAGCCTACAGGATCAGAGCCACAACCATTTATGGGGGTAAGTGACCTCCTCTAGCTTTCGACCCGAGCTCAAATTTAACAATCGAGTAGCGAGGGTTAAAAAGACACATTTTTCCCCGCGTGATAAACTATATATTTTTCGTCATATTGCACCAATGTTTGAGCAAACTGTTACAAAACTGAAATAGTTTTCATTTTAAGATAAACTCTCAAAACTAATTCTAGCTTGTTTTAAGTTTAATTTGCTAATTGAAACCAACAGCTGTTTCAATCGTCTTGCCTATTGCTATTACGATTGTGTTGTATATTATTATCGATATGTTGAACTATTTACAAAAAGGCAACAATTACTGTAACTGCAATCGGTTAAAAAATCGATACACACTTTCGATACATGCAGATGCAATAGTTTACAATAGAAATGCACTTCTGAGTTGACAACAACCGCTGATATTTACTCCATTGGGGGCTAAAACCGATAGGGAGTAAAAATACTACTTTAGACCAGCAACGCATGCGTTAAAAACAGGTGTTTTGCTGCAGTATGACGGAAAAATAATTGTACGGATTCCCCTTTATTTTTATTGGCCTAATTAGATTATTATAACTGTCTACTAAAGAGACATTCATTTAAAGATTGCAATATAAATTAAGCTAGGCCCTACTCATTTTTATGCCTTGAATGGACCAATAAAACATAAATAAACTGATCCTTGAGATAGAACCCAACCCTCAAAATTTGACGTGAATATGATGCATAAAATGTGGAATCATTTTATACAGTATAGAGATTTGTATTCAACTAATTGCTTTTGTTTTAAACTTGACCCATTATATTTCTCTATGCAGCAATTTTAAAATGTTTACTAGCTCGTTTTCTTGTACGGTACAAATTTTGCAATCAATTTTAAACAATCTTCCTGTTTCTGATGAGCTAGAGAGTTGAAACTTGAAACATAGCTCACAAATGGATAACAATGCAATGATAAGGGTGTGTTTTGCGCATCGATCTCTATTATCGATGGTTTTGCGTAGCATGTGTAATCTTTGGCATCATATTCAATGATTTTATTTTCATATTTCCCTTGGACTACGCCACATGGGCCACCGAATTTTTAATGTTTACATTTTGGAAGAATGTAAATATATCAATTTAAGTAAGCTGTAAATAGATTCATTTGACAGTTTGTTTAAAGAGTAGAGGTTGAGAGGTAAAGTTTCTGCTGCCGGAATATTCTAAAGTTTATGACAATGAGAATAGCAAAAACATCGAATTAGAGTTGAAGGGGTTCGTTATGTATTGGCCTTATAAAATAAATTCAATATATTTACATTAAAAACTAGAAAGTAGAAAATAATTTATAGGCCAGAATAAAAAAAAAAAAACTTTTTAAAATGCCACGTTTTCAAACGAACTAAAAATTAGCAAATAATTTATAAATATGTGGAGAGAAGTACTTGTAACGTTTAAAACGAAAAACGCGGGTGCATGCAGTAGATAACAAAAGTTCAATAGCTATTTATTTGTAGTTTAGGATAATTGTAAATTAGATATTATTGCATGCGTCCAGCATTTTTAGTTTTAAATCTTACAAGTATTTATTCTCTCCACATACTTATAAATTATTTTTAACTTCTTCATTCGTTTAAAAAAGTGGTATTTAAAATAGTTTTCTATTTATAAATTATTTAGTGAAATATCTGTAAGAATTGGTCCTCTTCTGTTCAAGGGAACGTACATTATAATCGATGATTTATTTTCGATATAGGCTATTGATTTTTTTTATTCCATGATATATATATAGATATTGACAAATTGAAAAATATTAGCGGACAACTACGATAAAAAATATTGTTCAGTATCAACAAACATTAAAAAATGTTGGAATAAAACTGTTCTAAACTATCCTAACTTATCAAAACTTGCTGTAAAATTTCAAAATTCCGTTTGATAGGTAACCTATTCCATTTCCCACATGCCTTTTATCTTATTAAATGGATTTTTTAAATGGTAACTTAAACTTAGCCTACAGCAATAGTATGTTGGGTTAGTTTGAAATATAGTTTCATTTTTTAATCCAAATAAGCAGTTCTCAATTCGTAGTTTAAATGCGTTTGAATAAATCAAACAGAAGCGAAGGAATATGGATAGTAAAGGAAGCCCAAAATATCGATAAATCGTAAAGTAATCATCGATAACCATGAATGTTCCCTTTAAAAGGAAAGTACCCAAAAACGTGACTGCAGATAGACATACATTACATTATATAACTTATGCCTATGTTAAGGTTTTTTTGTTAATATGTTTCCAACGTGGCACCTCATAAGGTCCTATGTTAAATTCTCATGACTTTCTTTTTAATTTTTTCACGTAATAAGATTTTTGTTGGCAGTTTTGATAAAATACAACATATTTTTGAGCCAGAAAAGTTAAAACTTTTGAACATTACAGTATTTTATTGTAATTGTTGTATTGCTGTTTCAGGGAATCAAAGCTAGCACTGGAGGATAAACACTACCCTTGTGACCACCCTTGGCTGGACAAACACCTTAGTAATTAATATTTTTTATGGTTAAATTTTTTATAATTTATTCTTTATTGAAGTTCCCCAAAATATATTTATTTTAAAAAAATCTGTGAATTTATTGCCTGTCCAACATATTCAGAGTTTTTTCACAAACATTTTTGATTGTAATAATGTTCATATATCCATCAGTCAGTATGCACGATCTTTGACATATTTTTACATGCTTTTTAAGATGAATTTTACCTATGCATATTTGCAGTATTATGAAAATCACACCAAATTTGAAATAATTGTAACTTCAGAACAGTTAAATGTTCTCTTGTGTTGTGAAAAAAACCTAAATAACCCCCGTACATTTTTGTTTACAATATTACATTTTATGTTTTTCTATACACAATCTTTTTAATGTAATGTGTAGTTTTTAGTTCTTTGACTGCCCTTATAAATAGTGGCATACCAAGTAAAAACACTCTACTAAAATGGTTTCTACAACTAATAACCAACGATTTTAGTACCCATATTTATACAAACTTGTATTGTATTTTAAGAGTAAACAGCTCCAAGTATACACTCTTAGCTCAACCTCCGTTAATTAATTTTCTCTGTTTTATAATTGTATTCTACATGTTATGTTGTTAAGACTATTTTGAGAAGAAATTATTGCTTTTGAATTCTTAAATAAACTTTTTATGATAAAGGAATGCTTATTTTAATATTTTCTGCTGTCTTAAACAAATTTTGGCTTATGTAAAATGTATTTTTTATTTTAATATAATAATAAAATAATTAATAAGATACTAGTCAATAACTTTTGAAGACTAAATTTTTGCTATTACATTTATAGAAAAAAATTATGATGATTAAATTTAGCTAAGGTTGAAGATATTTGATACATTCACAAGAAGAATTCTTTGCTAAATTCAACAATGAGATTTAGTGCACATTGGTAGCAGTTAGCAAATCAGCTACAAAGATTTCCTGTAATTATCTAACAAACATTCTTTTCATATTTATATTCAACATTCAGTGCATATTTACAGTAAATTATCTTTGCAATTCATCTTCGTACACGTCATTGAAAAGCAAATGCGAAGCAGAAGGATTCCCTGTAAATGTTTGACTAACATTATTTTCTAATCTGAGAAATAAACCCAGAGCATAATTGCAGCAAGTACTCTTTGCAAGTCATGTACAAAGATTACTTGCAAGTGTTTTACAAGCATTCTTTGCTAACTCGAGAAAAACATGCAGTGCATCATTGGAGCAAGATTTCTTTGCAAGTAATCTGCATTCATTCCCTGCACGTGTTTTACAAGCATTCTTTGCTAGCTTGAGTAAAACATTCAGTGCATGTTTGCAGCAAGATATCTTTGCAAGTCATCTGCATTCATTCAATGCAAGTGTTTAACAAGCATTCTTTGGTAGCCTGATAAAAACATCCATTGTATGTTTGCAGCACGGTATCTTTGCAAGTCATCTGCAATCATTCCCTGCAAGTGGTTCGCAACTATTCCTTGCAACCTTGCTTCAAACACACGGTGAAACTTTTCAGAAAGTCTGAGATGGGGTTACTTTTATACTTGCAGCAAACGTGTTACAAATTAAAATGTTTGCAATGCATAGTTGCTGCAACCATCTTGGGTTGCCTCTGAAAGTTTATTATGAACTAACTGAAAGCTTTCTCTGCTATCTGGGTAGGTATGTGGACAATCTTTGTGCTGTGTCGGTTTAGTATTTTAGTCGTGGCAGCCGGAAGGACAGACAGACAGCACTACCTCAATTTTATAATAGTATGGATTAATTAATTAATTGTTCTTAAACTGGGAATACTACACAAATTTATCAGCTTACCTGTCATTACAGTAAAGCTTGAATCCAAAGTAAATGGACGTTGCTGTTCCTAGAATGAACAAACCAGGCACAATCATATCTCTGGGTGGATCAAACTTGGAACCTGCAATCAACATATTTTACTTGAAACACTAGTATGTCTAACTGTGTCGGTAACTATTTAAGTGATGCTGGTTTTTGAGTTCAATCACAAAGAGTACACACTTAGAAGCTCTGTGACATGTAAAAATGTGTTACATAGGCCTACTTTTAGGACAAAAAATCGACTAGGTTTTCGTGTGGATTTCGGTGAATAAGATAAATAATGTTACTGGGGTCTTTATGGGCCTCAGCAAGGCTTTTTAATAGTGTGTCACATTAAATCAACTAAAAACTTGTAGCCTATGTTATCTAAGTCTGTCTATTCTCTAGATGAATTTGTTGGTTGGAATTTTTAATTTTAGGTTAATATAGTTCTGTATTTTTATTCAGCTTATAACTATTTGAAAGAGTAAAAAATCCTGTTTACTCTTTACTTACCAAAAAAAAGAATGGTGGTCCTCTAAATTCAGACATTGTCTGTTGTGGTCATACTCGTAACCACTGGAAAAAACAAGGTGAAAACTTTAATTGATGAAACTGTTATTAAAAAAGTCTTTTTCATAATAATTCAAGCCTACTATTTAGATTTTGTTTTTGTTAAACTTAAGAACAAAAGATAACTTGTTGAGGTCTTCACTTCCTCACTTCCAGCCTTTTTTACAAATGTTCAAATGTTCACATTTGTCCCTTTTTAATATTCTGTCATTTTTTTAAGTGTTTTAAAACCTTTGAAATGAAAGTAAATAATATAAAGTAACTTTTAGACAGAGTCAAATGTTTAAGATGGTCAAATATGTAGTCCCAATGGAGTAAAATAAATGTTTATTGGTAAGTTAGGCATATTATAAATTATCCAATTCAATACTGGAAAAAAACATGAAAATAAATTAATATGTATACCTTTTACAGGTACAAGCATTGTTTCTTGTACTGCAAAACTCGTTGATCTCACAATCTTCATCGCTATAACATGGCTTCATTACGATGGTTCCAGCCATCAGAATTCCTAAAACATAAAGAGGAACATTACAAAGAATAACAATGATATTTTTACCGTGCTAAAAACTAGAATACAGTCCACGGAGAGTCTATGCAGTTGAGGGAGGAGCCTATTTACCATGTGACTTCAAAGAAGCCAATGAGGACAGCGCGGTGTTTCCAACTCTAATAATACCAGTAGATTTAATAACAATAACAATAACAAATAACAAAATTTTAGAATAATTGCTGCAGACAAGCCATATTGGCTTTTGTGGCTGAGTTGTATGTGTTATGTAAATTTGTATTTTTTGGAATTAAATAAATAACTAAATAAAATTTGAAAATATTGTTTAGTATATTTTAATTATTGTAGAAAAGTAGTGAACTGGTGATGCTGCAACATCGCACTTGTCTAGTCTTGGTATTGGCTGTCGCCAACTGCAGACTCTTGGTCCCTAATTTAGTTTGTTGCATTCAATTTGATTTAGCAGTACATAGATAAATGATTTAGCATTTTTTCTTTTTTTTGCAAAGGTCCTACCCCAGAAAATTGGGAAAATGTTGGTAATCTGTGTAATACAACATTACATGTGTCATGCATTAATTTTTAATCAATTTGATACTAAAAAAGGGAACATCTAGCAGGGAAGGAAAATCTATTTTAGAGCTCTACCAATAATTGCTAGTTTTTAAAATTATACTACTCCCAATAAGAATTTGTTATGCTTAGAACAGCTGAAGAAAATTAGAATGTTTATTATTTTTTTACGAGTTTTGTTTCAAGAAATGGGTAGCTATTGTCTATGTTTCACAAGATCAAACAATGACGGAGAGGTTATAAAACTTGCATAATGATCAGAAGGCCTAATACTAAGAAACACCATTAACGATTTGATGATTTGCCACTGGACCTAGCTGTTCGTGATCATTTGGCATTGGGCTCTTTATCTTCAAAGAACCAGCTGATCTTATAGTCAGTTACTCAGTTACAAAGCTATAATGTTATTGCATAAGTTGTTTTTTTATAACTTGCTATCGCAGAAATTGCTTCCGATGTGGGTTGCAGTATTTTTTAGGTAAAAAGGAAATAAGAGAGTGTTCTTGCTCAATATATAAGAGAGAATTTGAGTGCATCTAACTAAGTATGGAACGGAAACAAGTAAAAAAAAGCCGTGGTAGTTAATCACCTTCGGTTTTTTGATAAAAAGTTCATACCAAATTAGTAGGCCTATCTTATTTCAAAATATTTGGCCCAATCAGTGATATGTTATTCAAAATCTTCGCATTACACACCCTTGTAAAATTTGTGAATAAGCAACTCGATGTCAGTTCCGCACGATAATGGTCACTGCAGCTGCACTAATTTCTTCCTCTAAACAGTTTTCTCTGCCACCAACGAGGAGGTCGACAAGTGGACATAAGCAAATGTTGCTATGCACGCTAAGTAACGATGATGCTGTGTAGATGTACTACACAAGATGAACAAATCAAAATGTTCGAACCTCTTATAAGCTTTTATCAAGATTAACTAGTCCGTGAGCTTCTGAAAATGATTGTCGAACATGTTCACAGACTAATTTGTGGAATGTTCATCCGCTTTTTAAATTCGCGAATAATGTTCAGCAGACATGTTCGGTTGGTGGAGACGAGGCTTAATAATTAAACTATGATTGACAAAATTACTCACTGCCACAGGGGTCTGGGTAACACACACACACTGAGTTGCGACAAGTCCAAGAGTTTTCATCACTGTTACGATAAAGAGCCACACAGTCATCGGCTGTAACACATGTCTTCATTGCTGAAACAAAAACATTGTTTACGGTTGATAAACTATCAAAAAGATTGGTAAATCATAAATAAATAATTAGAAAAATTATTTATAGGCCTATAGAAAATTATATGCCATCTTATTTTAAATAAGCATATTAAAAAATTAATTCCTGATGATGTCTTAGCATTGTATCATCCTGCAAATGCAGCAGTAACTTATATAGAAAACGTCTTTGATTAGCCAAAATATTTAATTATTTTCATAATTTAGCCAAAATTTCACATTTTTTGAGATAGTGAAATAGCACAGTTTACATAAACTGCATTTAATGAAACACTCAATCACTGTTACATAATATAGTTAAATGGCATTATGTAACTTAAATCTATTGTACCTATAGCTACAGTAGGCTCTTTACAGGCTACAGTGTGCTGAATTGAATACTGCAATCTCTATTTTACATGTTTCATTAAAACCGATTTTTAGAATTCATGAAAAATACCAATCTGGAACTGTGATTTATTTTTACAGTAAATAAACCTGTTCAATTAAAAGTCAAACAGGATATTATGAGTTTGTGTCAATACAATATGCATTTTTAAACTGGAGGATTGAGTGTTGAATATTGGTGATAAATAATTAATTTTTCACAATACATTTCTTGTGATGTCAATATCCTTAAAAAAATAACTAAAAACTGGAAGAATGGGAAACACCCAAAACAAGCAAAATGTAAACATGGCTTTGTTGTCATGTAGGATGTTTGTAGGAGGGGTTATTTTCTCTGTGGTAATGGACGTAAGCTAACATAAATTCAATAATTTGTATTTCCAAGGCAGTTTACACAAGCTAACCTTGTACTAGGAGGGACGACCAGGACGGAAAAAGTGTGAGGAAGAGGCAAAGCATCTCGCCCCTTCACCGTGAATCAGACACTGACCAAATGGCAAATATTCGAGTATCCGACAACGATAAGTCGCTATCGATTGACATACGGATACGATGGTTCTATCGAACGAGGTAGGCGTTGGCATTAACATTTCAGTTTTAAAAGGCTGGCTGGTGCTGGGACAACAAAAAATGTTAACAAACTACGATAGTATTTTGTTTTGAAACAAACATTTCAGTGTTGAGATCTATATCTAAATGAATCCCATATAGGTTAGGAATTCGACCCCTCGACAGTATCGTCTGAAAGTGTTTCAGATTGAGGTTAGGTCTAGGTCGATTGTAGTCTATGCTGTTCGATGGATCGATTCAGTGTATACCGAATGTTACCGCCCTGCGCTCCAATATCGATTTGCGGCACCGACAGCGCATCTTGTCCTTATCACTTCACTTTTGATAAGTTTTGTTGAATATCACGTTGCACTTGGGGGTCCGCAGAACTCATTGAATATTAATAATTTACCGTAGGCCTACCTCTCGGATATATCGTATGGTGGTGAATAAGAAATACAAATAAATATTCAGATTGAATGAATGACTTCGTCAAACGAAACATTAATTGGACATAATGTGATGACTTTTAACAGCCCTCACAAATTTTCCATCTTCCGAAAATACAGTATACATAGTTTGTATTTTTATTATATTCGTGAAAGAGGACCATTGTATGTAGGCCTACATTTTAAAAGTTCATTAGCATTCATTTTTAAATGAGACCATTTTTAAAATGATTTTTAATCACTGCTATTAAACTCGTTTCATCATGTCCTCAATATTCAATAGTTTAACTAAATGGTGATCTGAGGGTTGTCCATAAATCAAGGTTATTGAGCCCCTGTACCGACAAAAGGAGCTATATAGGTGAAATCTTTCACCACATCCATGTTCTAGTTCTTTATCTCATCTACTATTGTATTCTAGCCGGTTTCCAACCTTTTGTGAAGGGAAGTTATATATGCTACCGCCAAGTAGCCTACAGTATGAATCTTCTTTTGTCATTAGATTTCTGTTGTTAACACGGCCAGTTAGCAGACAATAAATACTGTATATCGAAAGTGTTTGAGGGAGGGTAGAAGATATGCCTAAGGGGTGGATGGAATTTGGAGGAGGTTGAGGATGTAAACATTTGCAGGATGTTGATCATCTTTTTCGCTGTCCTGGTGTAGGCTAACCCAGTTGCGGTTCAGCATCCCTTGTCTAGGCAGTGGCCAAAGTTTAGTTAGTTTTGCAAGCAGACCAACAATCAACAAAAAGGAGTGTGTGACTGAACAAGCCATTGTCAAACTAATAGGGCGTCTCTACAGACTATCTAGGACAACCCTAGATGTTGATCTAGAGTGTTGATCACCAAGACAAAGTTTCATCAAATTGAATCTCTACCTCAACACTGATGAACATTTTCTGACGGATCGTGAAATTTGAAAATATGTATGGCATGTTCTTCAAAGTACCGTACCTAAGCCACTACTTAATAGTATATTTCGTACCTTGGGCCGAAAATGAGGTTTTGCCGGCTCGAGATAGTTTTTAATTTTGAGACGAAAGTGTTTTGAGAGTAAGAGACTTTGTTTTTAAAGTAAATTTTCAAGTTGAAGAATGGTGTTTATGTTAATAACGACAAATGATGCTCACATTGCACAATCTTAGATCCCCCTTTAAGGAAGAATAAGTGGATGTACAACTAAGTAACTTGCTCATGGAAAGAGTTCCAGGTAGTTGGCAGCACACATAATATATATTCCTCTCTCAACACAATTAATTTGATTCTTTTGAAGAAGCCCCCTTGTAAGGAGTGGCAAAATTATATGTGTTGTGAAGTTTTATGCATGCGTTAGCTACCTGGAACACTTTCCTAAAGTAAGTTTTTAGTTACGTTTTTTAGTTACATATTAATCGCTTAATTTTCTTCCCTGGCCAAGTGCTTTCCTTCAAAAACAAACTTTAAGTTTCGTACTTCTTAACTTGAACAAACAATTTTAACCTTAATTTTCATCTACTTAAACAATTATGTTAGGTTTCTATTTACAATTGTCATTCTGGTATATTTAATCAAATATTAAATGCCAATATTCCCTCAACCAAACTACTTAATTCCCACTTTCCCAAACTACACAATGTTTCAAAATGAGCAGAATTTATAATGATTTAATTTGGTAACATACCTGATTACTTATATTTTTCATATTTTATTGGCCACACTCTGACATTATGGATGAGATGCCTCCTCAACTACAGAAACTGAGGTCAATGATAATATGTAAATATGAGCATAAAAGCCATTTAGACCTGATACCTGATGCTAATAAGTCACATTTATCAGTATTTTTGGATGGTTGGGCCATTGTTGGACAATGGTTGGTTGGAAAACAGTTTAAAGAGGTGACATTTCTACCGTTGGCCAACTGTGTGGCTCCACAATTTACCAATGTTGGCCCAACCATCTGTGCTACATGGGTATCTAGTATCACAACATCATCTGACTACATTTATTATAGATCCAAAATTTTTACAATATTTGTCTTATATTCTGCTGCCATAACATTTATGTACTTTTAAATAAATCAATTCGTTAAAATGTGTGTTTTATACTTAAACCCAACGAAGGCCCAACGATTCTTTCCTTTGTAGGGCCAACGAATACCAGTTTCCGTTGGGCCAACGTTGGCAAATCGTTAAAATTTCTGCCAACCATTTCCCAACCGTGCCGACCATTTCCCAACGTTGGGCCAACGGTGTGTGCTACTTGGGATGTGTATATGTTATTGTACAAATAAAACCATAGGCACATTGTTCCTTATGGAATTTTTTAGATATATTCTTTTTCTTTCTTTCTTTTTTCAAATATATTCTTTTTCAGGGAAATTGCAGTATGTGTAACTATATTAATGATTTAAGTAAATCATATATCCTATTAATATAATTTCCCAATCACAGCCTGGTTGGCGCATTAGTACATGTAGTTATTCGGTTATTGAAAATTTAAGAATAGGGAGAATTGGATCTCTTTACCAGTAAGAATAAAGCCCAATGATCATAAGGACAGCTAGGTCTAGTTTTTTTTTTAAATTGACTTATTATCTGATGAACTCAGCTAATGAACAAGAGGTACAAAAATAATGTAGTGACAACAACAAATCACAAAAGACATTTAAATTTATTTATTGAATAACTCAAACATAACAATAATAAAACGACAATCAAACACCACTCACAAATCAATTTGGGTGTATTTTGACTGGGTAACATTAACAAATGTGTGCATCGCACCTATCTACCACTTCTCACTTAGACTAGACTAAACTAATCGAATGGAAGAGGCTCCTACATCTAGATAAAGCATAAAATCTTTTAATTTACCTTAGCAAAGAATTTATGATATTTAAATAGCTGTTGGTAACCTAAGGCTATGTCAAAGAAGTGTGAAGATTCCCAAGAACGTAACGATATCCCCACTTCCTCCACAGACTAACACTAACCTAACCTAACTGTACAATATCCGCACGGTTCCACTCAGTGGCGTTTACAAAAACTGGCAGTCAACGCTGGTCTCAAAAACACGTTACATTAGCGTACAAAACATTAACAATAACTTTCCTGCTGTGTTGTGTACGCCGTCAGTAACTAGAACTAACAAAAACATCAGGTCCCTTGTTTCCAACTAGAGTATTTACAATTTACACGATTGGATGTTGGCAAACTCCTTTACTAGAAATCAGTGAATTTTACAAATAAAATTCAATTTACAAACAAGCTCAATATGTGTATTATTCAAAAGTTAGTGGGCTACCTACAAAAATATACAATGAATGGAAACTCTTGTAAACAAATCCCAAGCATTTGTTTATCAACAAGTTTTACACATTTTGTTACATGATGTAGGAAAATGGCTTAACCAATTCATGTCCAAATTCATTCAACCAGTTGCTCATTCACTACAGATATCTTCAATTTATCTTACTTAATCATTCAAAAGGGTCTATAAACATTTAAGAAACTCTACAAAATTGCTAATATATTTTATAGTTTACTGAGTTAACACTTATCCTTTAATTTTCATCCACCCCAACATCAGTTGTAAATGAAAACAAATATTCAAATTCCAAGGCTTATATTTCTCACAAGACTCACATCTAGCAGAGGGTTCAGTAAGCCCAAAATAAGCTTAATAATTTTCAGGCCAAAATAGTGAGAGTTGTCTAACAGTCCATGTATTACAAAAGAAATATTTGGTCATTTAGATTTCCTTTCTTCGCATAAGCCTGTGGCCCGAAAATCTAAATCCCACGTGAGTTGTTAGAAAACACACCAAAACCTAAGAACCTCCCATCAAGGTATTAAATGGTCTCCCGAACAATTAAACAATAATAACTAATTTCTTCTTGGGTTTCTCCTAAATATATTATCGATTCCTATTTTTCACGTAAAACAGCATACACTTTTACACAGGATGATGGGTACTATCAATCATGCAAAATCTATTACTAATTTGAAGTATTTTTACATTTGGGGATTCAGTTCGGCCAAAATTTCTGTTTGCGCAACCAGAACTAACCGGGTATTGGAGGAGGTACTTTTGTCAAAACATCCATGTCTTGTTGCTCAGAGTGACTCACTCACCCTACTCCCAGCATTGCCAATAACCGGCACCTGCATGTTTTCAGTGTGACTAGTGAACCTTGCGCGCACAGAAGTTTTGGTCTATCTGAACCTAATCATAGTGCACATGAGTTTTTTTATTAATCTTATAGTCTTAACACTAAAAATTGATTTTTTATTTTAACTTAGGTTTAAATTTCAACATAAATCATAATAACCAATTCAAATAGATAATGATTAAGTTTATCAATTTACTCCTTGACAAAAGAAGGGTTTACTTGTGCTACTATGCTTACGATTAGGGGAAGAGCACATAAAAAAATGACCTTAAACAATGGTAAATTGTTAGATGTGTACAACATTTTACCCTGAATTTTAGCAAGACACAAAAAGTTGACATCCTTCCAAATCTTATACAATATTTAACCAAACCATTAAAAAGCATGTAAGCAACAATGAAAAAACTATTTAAAAACTAGGTTACCACACCTCTTTTTTAGAACCAACATGGTGACAAACCAACAAAAGTGATACAATATATGTCATGATCTTTTGAAATGCATGTTGATGAATGAAGATTTAGTTACAATTGGTCGCTACGGTGCTACATTTGTTCTCAGATAACATTTATTTAGAAGAGTAGTACAGAAAAATCGAAGTAAACATTTACTCGGCAATCCGTCTGTCACGCATATTTACACTTTGCAATTCTCTGTGCAAACACACTGGAAACGAATCTACTACGCTTACATGCATCAGGCTTAGACACCGAGCCACAGAAGAAAACTTTGAATTAAATCGATTCACTTTCGATAAGCATTAACCATTACGACCCGCCACTGCATTCAGGTTCTTGGGCAAAGATTTGGAAACAACATAAATGAATAAAAAACAATCTTTAAGCTATTTAAAGACAGTCTATTGTTCATGTAAACGTAGTATGTTTGTTAAGTTTTATTACAAAAATATATTCAATTTTATTCACACTATTGACAAACATGCACATCCATTTTTGTATGGTAAAATGAAAAATATGATTTACAAATGTTTAATATATTCTTGAAAACAATTTACATGTCTATTTACATTCTGATATTCTAAACATTATCGATGGACTAACTAATTATATTTCAACCTTATTATTTTTAGAGGCTTCAATTAGATTTGATCAATATATAAAACCAAAGGAAAACAATAAAAAATTAACAAATTTGGTTCTTGTAAACTGAAACTACTACTACTAGCTGTATTTGTTAAAAGTTAGTAAAATACACCATACAGTATACTATTAACAAGATTCCCAGATTTGGAAAATCTTAAGTAGGCCTACACATAAATTGAGGTTATGTTTCAATTAATTGTTGTTTAACCATAAAATACACTCTTAAGACATCTTTCTACTCAAGCAGGCAAATAGATGATGAGGTTTTGTGTAATATTTAAACGTTTTAAGGTAATTTTACAACATTAGAGAGCATTCAAATAAAATACACAGACAATTAAAACACACTTGAAGTTTTGTGCTACATCCTGAGAGAACGTGTGCAGTATAAAAATAAAATCTTCAATAGACTTAAAAATTAAGTAAACTTAACAGGTGAGCAGCTTTGAGCTGAATTTAATTATTTTTGTGTTTTGATATTTATGTTATGACGGTGGGTGTGTCTCTTCCAGTGAACTGCGGCAGTTTAGACAGTTCCAGTGCCACCTGTATCAGAGGCCGCAGAGCTACTGAAGCGTCCAGTGACAGTGCCGCGGGATCGGACTCGTAGCTCTCCGCGTACAGACGTACAGTCGCCCCAGAGCTACCTGTGCCGCTGAGGCGATAGATAAGGCGAGAGCCGTCCTCAAAGATCACCCGGATACCCTAAAAGTAATGAGTTTTTACTAAAGTCAAAGTTGTAAAATCATTTTCAGTGATGTATATTTTAACTTAGGGAAGGGGGAGGGTTTAGAGTATGGCTCCATGAGCTACACTTGACATTTTGGCCTTTTGTAGTAAATATGTTATAATATTTCGTGACCAATTAAAATGGGTACAGTATTCATTCAATATAAATATCAAATCTATCAATACATAGTTATGTCCCTAAAAAATCTAAACGGGACTACCGAAAACTAAACTAATAAAAAATATTCACATATTGATTAAATCATAATGAATTTAGCTGTGACAAAAGTATACTGTACGACAGTCCATGACGTTTTTGGTGTTGCACCAAGCTCAAATTACCGAATAATAGAATATGCCATATCTCAAACTCTGCTTACCTCTAGTTCTTGACATATCAGACAACTAATACGGCTCTTTTTTTAAAGTCAATAACCATTTGACCTAACTTAGCCTAATCCAAACTTTCTCACAGCTGATCAAGCTTCACTTCCAAAACAAAAACATTAAAAAATCGGCCATATAATCAAATAATAAAATAACATTGGTTGCTGTCAAATGGTTAAATCACAGTGTGCATTTTTGTGTGTGTGTATATTTTTTCACAATGCCAAGTATTGCGAAGACAATTTACAATAACTTAATATTCAACTGGACAATTATAGTCTAGGCATATTAGGAAAGTTAGCAGAAAGTTTAGGTACAGTCCTAATCATCACTTTTCTTTATGTTTTTTGGGTCGCTGAACACGAATATGAGGTTTGCTGACAGATATTTTGCCCGGAACATTGGTTATTTGGTGAAAAACCTTAAAATTTGGGCACTTTTTTTGGTTTTTCGGATAAATCTCGGTAAGTATGGGTTTTTGAGAAAATCGTGCTTTGTAAAATTAAAGATGACAAAATTTACTACAAGTTTCCTATATAATGTTTTTTTCTACGACAAACCGTTTCGCCACTAGAGCACACTAAAAAAGGCCAGAAGTACAAAAAATTAAAAACATTGCTAAATGCTGCCGTTTTACATTACGTTTCCATGGAAACAACCCATGTTACGATAATTTTAACTATTTATTCATGATAACAAATTGAAACACACTTAAAAATACCCCTGCCGCAGCAAACCTGCAGACTAAGCGAATTTCCATTTCCCTGATTGGATTTACACTAAAATGTCTCCTTAGAAATATCACATTTATTCCCTATTTAAATAAAAGTTTAACGAGTATTTAGGTTTGCTGCAACAGGGAGGGTAAAAAGGTTTTTTTTTTTAAATGTAATAATTTAGTATGAAATGAATGCATTTTCCAAATTTGATCAAAATATGTTCATAAACAAGCAAACTACAACAGTTTACTTAGAAGAAGAATTAAGAATAACATGGGCATTTTAAATTTACTGATTTTTGGAATTTTCTCCGTAACCATTAGGCGCATAACAACGCTTTAATATACTAAATTATTTGTTTTTTTAAGCTCTACAAAATGGTATGGAAAGAAATTGCTAAATTTTAAGTTTATAGTTCATCTTGGGCCGATAAAAAAAATGGATGGAATGCCAACCTTCAACCCGAAGAGAGTGAATTACATGATCCTACCAACCAACCTATTCATGAGGTTATTAACATTATAAAAAGAAAGATTGTCTCCATTTTCCACAATTTAATCCTAAAAGACGGGTCTTTCTTTCAGGTGGAGTTTTGTGGTCAGAAGACACACTAGTTAGTTTATTAGTGAAATTTCCCTGTAGGGAATAAGCTATTACCGTAGTACTCATGGTAAGACCTGGACCCGGGACCGATTTACTTTTTCGTTTTGAGGCCCCTAGAGACCAAAAACACCATCCGTTCAAATTCATATATGTGTCCGTTAGGGCGAGAACTCGAGCAAAAATCATCCGATTTTGATGAAAATTGGGACAAACGTGTAAACCTACGTCTATTCGAACGAGTTCGCGAACCAGCATGATCGGACTATGGGAACAGGTATTTAAGGGGGGTTTTATGGGGTAAAAATAGGTTATTCCCATTATTGACCCTAAAAACACAAAAGTTTACAATTTCTTTCCAAACCATTTTGTAGAGCTTAAATATTGAAGCGTTATTATGTGCCTAATGGTTACGGAGAAAATTCTAAAAATCACTAAATTTAAAATGCCTATGTTATTCTTATGGAGACTAAGTAAACTGTTGTAGTTTGCTTGTTTATGAACATATTTTGATCAAATTTGGAAAATGCATTCATTTCATACTAAATTATTACATTTTACAAAAAAAACCTTTTTACCCTCCCTGTTGCAGCAAACCTAAATACTCGTTAAACTTTTATTTAAATAGGGAATAAATGTGATATTTCTAAGGAGACATTTTAGTGTAAATCCAATCAGGGAAATGGAAATTCGCTTAGTCTGCAGGTTTGCTGCGGCGGGGGTATTTTTAAGTGTGTTTCAGTTTGTTATCATGAATAAATAGTTCAAATTATCGTAACATGGGTTGTTTCCATGGAAACGTAATGTAAAACAGCAGCATTTAGCAGTGTTTTTAATTTTTTGTACTTCTGGCCTTTTTTAGTGTGCTCTAGTGACGAAACGGTTCGTCGTAGAAAAAAACATTATATAGGAAACTTGTAGTAAATTTTGTCATCTATAATTTTAAAAAGCAGGATTTTCTCAAAAACCCATACTTACCGAGATTTGCCCGAAAAACCAAAAAAAGTGCCCAAATTCTAAGGTTTTTCACAAAATAACCAATGTTCCAGGCAAAATATCCGTCAGCAAACCTCATATTCGTGTTCAGCGACCCAAAAAACATAAAGAAAAGTGATGATTAGGACTGAACCTAAGCTTTCTGCTAACTGTCACTTATATTCCTAATATGCCTAGCCTATTAACCTTTAGGTTATACACCAGTGATTTTTCAGTCAATAAGATACCCTGACAGTATCACCGGTACTTCAACCTGTTGTTAATATAAACATGATACAGACTAAACATGTTTGTACCTGTTTGCTGGCGACACTGTGATCGATGGGGTCCGTGTACTGGAAGTTGTCAGCAGACTTCACCTTGTAGCTCTTGCCACCAGAGCTCAGGACTGTCCCTACAAACCCTGCAGCTGTCACCTTGGTTTCCAACTCGGCGATCATCTTCTCACAAGGGTCTGACTCACAGTTCTCGTAGTCGTACCTACAAAATATAACTCTGGGTTGACTTATAGTTTACGCTATTGTGTTGAGTTCTTGTTGATTTGATTTAATATACTGTAAAAACACGCTCTTCAAAGGACTAGCACTAGCATAACATTATTTGAAAAGTTTGGTTCAGTCGGTATTTTTCTAAAAATATCATTAAACCTGATGAACGAGGAATTATTTGTTGTTTTGGTGTTATCTATACTATAATATGAGAAATGTTTGCGCACAATGATTTAAAAACAGCTCCTATGATTTCCTCCAATTTGTTGGAAATATCTTAGTTTTAGGCTAAAAAAAATATCCCTTCTAGGCTCTGTTCTGCAAAAATTCGGTTTTCGTTAAAAACTTAAAATTAAATTTCAATATTTTTAGCATTAGTCTTATGGATTGTCAAGTCGCTATGGCAGTTTTAAGAACATGTAAATAAATGAATTGTAAAATATGCTTGTAACAAACCATCTACAGTACAGAAGAGCAAATTACTAAATACCGTACAAAAGAAAAGAACATCCCAACAAATACTATTTAGCATTGATTATAAATACACTTTGGGGTGTATTACTAAGCAAGGGATAAATACGACTATTCAAAAACGTAGTCTTTTACTGCAAAACAATACACTACGCTAATATTGAATTAAAACCCTCAAGGAAAAGAAAAGAACGTTTTGTAGCTTTTGACGATACGATGCCGGGATGGGCGGGTTGTTTGTATGATTCCACAGATTATAAAATGGAAACCGTATGGATTATAAACTATCAGTTCTCTAGGTAGTTCGGAGGGATACTTGTAATGAAATTAGACAATTAGTATAAATCAAATACTTAATACAAAGCTGGCTAGGCAAGATTTCTTATCTGGGTAAAAGATCTCCGTCCCTCTTGTCTCCAACACACTTCTAGTTTTTAGAGTAAATTAGTTTGGTAGCAGATTCAGCACGCTCAATCATTCAATTAATTCAATATCACCCAATCTTGGCCCATGTCTTCCAACTATTTCTTCCCTTAAGCTTAAAACATTCTTCCACCCTGCTACAATTATAATGGCTTTTATTTATTTATTTTTTTTATAATGGCTGCGTCAGCTTCTGCCAATCATGAGTATGGGCGAAGCTAGACTGAAAACAGTGCCTGCAGTACCACTGAGAATGCAATCCAGTAGTTCTTTACAACGTTGTGCTAAAGCCCCCCATACACTATCCAACATGTTGGACGGACATGTCGGGATCCGACGTCTTGTCGAACATATTGGACAGTGTGTGGGTTCCGACCCGACATGCTCGACGGATATGTCAGGTCGGATGCTCGGTCCGGTAGCACCACCCGACTCGAGCAGTCCGCCTGACATGTTGGACCGACTAGCCACAGTTTCCAGTTAACTTGTATTTAGCGAGTTGTGCGTGATAACCGTCCCATTTTTCCATATCCTGATGGAAAAGTGCAAGGAACTGTATCCAGAGTGTGATTTAAAGTTCGTTAAAAATAAAATTGAAAATTTAAGAGCCTAGTTCCATAGGCTCTAAAAATCCCTAAAATCATCGCAGAAAATCCCCCTGAAACAGCTAACAGTCGTCTCAAAATCCATCTCAGAACTAATATTTCACCTGACTTGTTGGGTGACATGCTCGACAGTGTGTGGGAAACACCCGACATAAGTCAGGTTGGATGATGGGTCCGTCGTCAGGTCAGGTTGTCAGGTCGGGTGGCATGTTCGATAGTGTATGGGGGGCTTAAAGTATCGCCTCTTCCTTTGTCATACTGACATTTATTGAATCATAACCTGACATGTATAGTAACAAATTGATAGCCTACTTAGCAATGTTATTTCTTCCTTACAACCATCGTACTATGAATGCCTGCTGCTGAATCCATGTGGTAACGATCTTTGTTCACCAAAAATTAAATGATCGATAATCAACTCCAGAGAGCATAAGTATCAACAGAATCAAACCACAATGTATGTGTGGACTCAATTGTCAACAATACCTTGTAAAGAAGTTTCTGCCGAACTTGGCCCAGTGCTGCTGCAGTATTTGGTCCACAGGTTTGCCCAGATGTGAGATGACTGACAACCAAGCCAATACTGCCCAGATGCCATCCTTCTCCCTGATGTGATCCGACCCGGTACTGTGCAACAATAACTATATTTATTTATTTGTGATTTTCTATGTAATTGCCACTGATACATTTTTTGAAGGGAACAGTCAAACCCTTTGAATAAATGACATCCAAATGAAAATTTGCACGTGTAAGAGTCTAGAGATTTTCACAGAAAAATGTGGGTCTAGAATTAATCCCCCATGGGATAAATGATAATACCTAACAGTATATTTGAGACTGGTAAAATAAAGGGTAGACTCTTATTTACTCATTCAAGTTTAGAATTTTATAAGCCTAGTAGGTTTACCTGTGATTTATGGTAATTACTAGCAGAGTACCCGTTCTTCGTAAGGGGTTGGCATTTTGCAGTTATACTCGTGCTTTGAGTTTGTATTGGGAAAGGACACGGGTTGATTCTTAAAAATTACGGTATGCCATAGTCATAGTAAAGCACATCTACCATAGCCATGATTAATTAATGTTCTACCACTGCACCTCAACAATAGAAAAAAATAAAGTTCTCATAGTGTATCACAGATTTTTGTTGCTGCTTGGTTAAAATTAGCTGTTGTCATAAATGCAAACAAAGTAATATTGCTGCACCCTTTTGGCAAACCTTATAAATTTTTAATGCTATTGAATATCATAGAGCCAACTTGTGTAGTTGAAACAGCTGACAAAATTCTTTAATTTCTTTTAAATGTCATAAGGTTAACATAAGGTTAACATAGGTTATCATAATGTCATAAGGTTTTAAAACTCATAAGGTTAACATGGGAAACTGCAGAGTCACTGGGGCGGAGCCCGAGAGCAGTTTGAGGACATGAATAGGAGGCCTATGTGTTAAATAGGTGCAAAATTTACTTTTGTGTAAAATTTCAACCCTGCCGTTTTAGTATTTTTCACGTTTACTCGTCACAAACATCCATCCATACATCAAAACTTTCTCACATAATATTAGTAGGATACAGTTTTCATCTTAATGTGAAATGGATTTTGGTTTGATAAAAGCTTGATAATAGTATAACTTCATCGTTATAGCCTACATACCCAAAACTCTCCTCCCCACAGAGGGACAAACGACCTGCATCCATCAAGTTTCCAAAGTACTTCCACCCTGTTGGAACCTCAAACAACTCCTTGTTGTTGACTGCAGCCACTCTAGATACAAGGAAAAACAATATAGTTTTAGTTGAAATTTATGTAGTAGGCCTAACTCCTTACCGGTACTTATTACCTTATAAACAAATAGCAATCCTTCGCCATATTATCTGGACAACTCTTTTCACAATACTTTTCATTCGCCGAAGGACAGGTATGTGCAGTATTTACCAATAAATTACAATTCTTATGTGACCGGCAAAGATAATGCATGGGTGATTGTTTTGAGTCCATGATTGGATAACTAAACAGTTCTTTCAGAGGAAAAACACTCTTCTAAATAAGCCAGGTGGAGTCTCTCTTTCAGCGGTTTTGGTCACGAATTGCACACTTTAACTGGAAGTCTGTTGAAAGTATTCCAACACCGGACACCGGATAACTATGTCTAATTAAACTCAAGAGACACCAGGATGTTTAAGTTGCTAGTAAACTATTCCTGTCAATAATAAGACCCAGTCAGATTTCTGTATATTATTGAGGTGATCTCCCACAATTGATTTTATATGGATGTCTTAAAGCGTTTTAAGTAAAAAAAAAACTTTACAACAAACTTACGTGGTTTAATTTTTATTTTTAACGATAAAAATAGTGTGGTAATCTGTATTTGAAACCAGATCTTTTAACCCCTCAACAATCTGTTTGCGTTAAACCCACACTGCTGATTCCCAAGATGGATTAAAATACAATCAATTGGTAATCCATATAAATAAAAATGTCTTTTAACAGACAGTATTTTTTGTGTAAAAACATAAATGATGAGTTGATTAACCAGCGCACCTATCCACAGCTGCTCCAGTAGGCATGCTCCTGGCGTAACCCTTAACCCCTGTCCTTTGAAAGTATGGAATACACTCCAGATGAGCAGCCAGCACAGCCAACGAGTCACTTGGAGTCACAAAGAAGGCCTTGTGTCCCAGAACCATGTTACGATCCTGTAAATAATCACTTTTTACTGGATTTAGTTGGAATATACCTCACAATAAAGCTTTGTTTTTATTAACATTAACATTTAAAAACTTTTAGAGATGTTCAAGAAATCTTTCATTTTTGGGGACTCTAACACTTTAAATAAACTTGTGTAGCTCTAGCATTTTTAGAAAATGAAACTTCTTGATTGTATATTTACTCAAGAGTAACCATATACTGTAGTTTTCCAATAATATGTAGTCTGAAAAATTTTAACAGGCTACTATTTTTGATGAATTAGAGTTGAGTGTGGATGAATTTTTAATGCACTGTATATATGCATATTAATCTTATAAAGACTGAAAGAAATCCAGTTTTTTTTAAATCAACATTAGCTGGTAATCGGTGTAATATTTCTTTAAATGCTTAAAATTACTTTTTTTCAAACTAAACTACCGGTACTTAAAAACCAAACTATGTGTTCCAATTTCAAAATAAACTCAAAGCTTGCCTTATATCTTTTTTAAATGCCTATAACAAATACCGGTATGTAATTACACATCTGTTCCTCATTCGTATTCATGTATCAAATGTTTATCAATAAGTGTGGAATAAAAGCATATAAAAGTTAAACTTAATTCCTTTCTAAATTTTTAAAAACACTTCACATTTCCAACAATAATTCATATAACACGTAATATTCTGAATGAATTGACAAATCACTAATCAAACATCATTATCTTTCTTATATAAGAGTGTTTACCTGCAATATCAAATTATATCTGTTCATGATAACAATTTGATCTGTTGTTGTCTGTTGACCTTATACAATCATGCATGTTGATTCATATTTAAATTTGTATTATAGAGTGCTGTGGTTAGCTTTAAACTTACATTCCGAAAGACTATAAGATCTCTTCATGTCAACAATGAATGACATAAACTCTGATCTGTTAGTGAATTGATAAAAATATCAGATATCAAATTGATACTTCACTATATTCGTAAGAAAGCTTACCCCATCACCATCAAAGGCTGCTCCAAAATCATAATCCCCTTCTTGCAGAGCCTGAACCAGATCCGCAGCGTAGGTCAAGTTAGGGTCAGGGTGGTGACCTCCGAAATCCTCCAGAGGCGTTGTGTTGATTGTGTTGTTCTTGGGTGCGCCAAGCTCCTCTACGAATATCCGTTGGACGTATGGGCCAGTCACTGCAAAAATAGACCTGAGAATGAGCAACTAAAACTATATCAATACACTTTAATTTTACTGCTCAATAGATTAATTAAACATTTCATTGATGAGAATACATATCAGTGTTAGTCATCTTAACTGGATTTTTTGCATATTTTGTAAGGGAACAGTCCAACATTTTCTTAGATAGCATTAAAAATTGATAGTCCAATAGCATCTGGATCCTGTACCAATCTTGCTTTGAAAGATATGAAGGCAAGCATCACTCGGCTACCAAGACAATTAGGAGCCATTATGCACACCATAAACGAGTAAACTCACAAACTAATCTAAGGAAACTAAATTCCCGAGCGAACTAAATCTTTTTGACGCTTTTTTTGGTTGAACATAAATCAAGGCTGGCCAGTAGGTAGTCTATTGTAGTATCTACTACTGTAACAGTAAACTGCTTCCCTCTTTGAAGTTGCTTTCAAAGTCCTAAAGACTATGTCACATTTCTTGGCTATGATAAATCTCATACAATTGAAGTATTCATTTACAAAAAGTGAAGAATTTAACAACTTCTTAAATGATAGGGCTCTTTAAAAATAGTATTATAAAATGTATTAGTCTATGGAAATGTTGGGCTCTAAGTTACCAGATACTGTAATCTGTCAATGCTAGGGAACCAGTTAGAATCTAGACTCACCTCCATGCATGGAGTTGATCAGCAGTTTGAAAGGTGGTCGGCCATCACTTCCTTGAATTAATTTCTTTAACTTGTTAAAATCAAATATTTCTTTCATTAACTGCAAGTAATCTTCTACACAGTCAATTATGTCTACAACAAAATCTCTATCATCAACCTGAAACCAGAACATTTAAATGGTTTGAATAAGTTGAGTTTCTATTATTCTAATGAATTTGATTCAACCTTATAGATATACAGAGCAGCCAGAGGTTTTAGGTTTGTTGGAGGCACTTTGGAACAGAAAAATTCCCTTGCAAAGAAGGGAGGGGGGGGGGAGCATACATCTCTTGGACTCATGGTACTTGGATGTAAATTGCCTCCAATCCTGACCTTAATAAACTTATTTAGAGAAGAACTTGTCTGTTTTGTTTCGCGCTCTCCCACTTCACTAGCTGTTTGATTAGCTTAGCTTACTAAAAAACTATTAAATTTTATAAATTTAAAGATAAAAATAAAATTTACATAAACCCTGTTATAAGTTTGGTACCTTCATGTTTATGATTTAACGGAACAATATAATGATACAGCGTGTTCTTGGTAACGTAAAGGTCACATTTAGAACAAATTACCGAAGCAAAACTAAGATAAAGAAAGTATCATGGTGTGTCTACTTTGACCTAACCTTAAACTAATCCTGGCCCCCCAAAAAAATATTCTATACCCGCCACTGATTGTACCACTCCGTCCCTTTTGTTTAACCATGCTAACAGACAATATTTCTGGTTGTATACAATTAGAAGCAACTCCAACTACATTTGAATCTCACCTTGAATTTCTGAGTCCCCAACTTATCAATGGGACAGGAGAGATCTGGGACTAAAGAGTAAGACTTGATCACCTTCGTAAGCTCATAAATATGGTTGGTGACTGCATCTGGTGCCGGTCCTGAAAAAAAATGTCTTTTAAATAAATAAGCTGTATTCATGCAGATTAATGCAGTCATCTCAAACATTCAAATTCAACAATCACCAACTTCATCATTCACTAAGCACCAGCACCTTTATCATTGATGAGTTGGTAGCACTGGGTTTACCCTTTTCTTTGATTGAGCTCAAATGGTTAAACAATTATTTAAACTATGTTAGGATTGCAGCATGTTCATAGTTCCTGCCTTTTTGTGTAGGTAGCTTTAGGTGCAGCATGATTCTTATAAACCATATACCTAGCTTATATTATAAATTTATCTGTAGCTAGATAGTGAGCCAGTTTTTAAACAACCCCTCTAACACTATGAACTGAATGGAGGCTAAATACCAACCTCCGTTGGAGCAGTTAAACTTGATGCCAAAGTCATTGTCAGGTCCGCCAGGATTGTGACTGGCCGTCAATACAATCCCTCCGGCCACGTTCAACTTGCGGATCAGACAAGAGACGGCTGGAGTTGACAGGATACCATTCTGGCCGATAACCAGTCTGGCCACCTGCAAACAATAAAAGATCTTTAGTGCATCAAAATCTAAAGGAGAAATTCAGCAGTTCTGTGAGTGTCAGCCATTCAGTGAATATAACATTTCTCCAGCTGGTTATGAAATAGTTGGGATGTCTACTTCGGAGTGTTAAAAAAAAGAGCAATTAATGTAAATAAATTGTATCCAGCTGATCATAATGTAAACAAATATGTCCTTCATAAGGATAGCATGGGAACATTAAAAGCCACTGGGGCAGAGCCCAAGGGACTTTTACAAAAATATAAGGTCAGTTTGCAAATCTACACACCTAGACGAACATTTTGGTACCTATATAATATGTGGGTGTATATAATCTTAAAACAAAAAGTCTTTTTTCACCAAGTTTCATGTAGCGCATTAACTTAATAATATAGATAGATGTACTAATGTTTTTCCTATAAAAAGGATATTTAATTTTAGGATACATCCTTTAACTCAATGCTTCTGTTGTGGAAATTAAACTGTTTGAGAGTTTCCATAACCTTATGCAATCCACTCTGTGCTCGCTGAATCCAACATCATGAGGCAATCGGTAGCAGGAAGTGTATATACAGTTCTGCCTTTTTGTAGTATAAAGTCAAGAGTACCTTAGCTCATAACTGCCAAACCAAGTAAAATCCATAAATGGTGTTCATTGTTGGTTTGGTCCTGCATGTTTACATGGTGTTCATAGCAATTAAATCTTTGACTGTCAAAAGATCGATGAGGAGATAAATTTATGGCAGCACATTTGACAGGGAATGGATAATTATTGGTCATGACATTTTTTTCTGTAGCACTATAAAGTTAGCTGGGAAAAGTGTTGATACTAACCAATTAATACTGGTGCATGATTATAGGATAACGGTAATGGCAAATGTGTTGTACATCATGTTAAACGTTGAAATATAATTTTGTATAATCTAAACTTAGCCTATAATCTGGGCACATTAACCTACATGGGCACAATAACCTACATGAGCACATTAAGCACAAAGATATATTGGAACCATGTAGCCTAATACGTAATACAGGTTCATAATACAATAAAGGTAAAAAGTGTACAAGAATCAGTTATAACATTTTACTGTGTATGCAGCTTTTTATGCAAAGCATAGCCAGTGTAAAGTAAGTATTTCAATGACAATTATTCATCAAAACACTGAAACTATACACCATGAACTTTGACTTTTGAGTCCCAAAGATAAAAATGGTCCTTAGCAATGATAAAAAGAGAAAATAACTCAATGATTATTTAAATATACTCCTAGGTCACCAAGATAGCCTGCTAAAGATAAAGTTGTGAAGGTCCATCTTAGGTTTAGTAGCTTAGTTGTAGTTGTCAGTAGTGTTAACAGAAGGAAAATAAAAACAAATACTTAGAAGGACAATTGATTATTTTTTTATTAATTAGGAATGTTAAAACAATGCTAACACTATGTTTGGTTTAACGAGTATTCATCAAGTAAGATATTTGCTTGCCTTGTTCCTGTCAAGTTACCGGTAATAGCTCAGTTATTTTTTATTATAAAACAGCTAGCCAAAGAAATTTGTAAGATAAAAAACACTGTTGGTATCAAAAAAAACTTGGCCACTTTATTATGATTTCTATAGTCATATTAAACACAGTAAAGGTACTCAAAACAAAATCAATGTCAGTATACTGACAGCACATAGGTATCTATAGAGTATCTTATAAACATTTCATTTGGATATTTAAGATATCTGATCAATATCCAGACATTATTTATAACTAGTGCACCTGTTGCTCGAATTCGAGCAATTGCAAAATGTTGCATGCGTTATTTCAAAACAGTCATAGTTTTCAATGACTTAAAAGAGTCAGCTCAAAGATAAATAATCAATCACTCCACACCAGTCATCGAAACTATAAATGAACTAAACTCACTCTGAAAACAAACGCTCACTCCATTTCAGTTATCAAAACTGAAAACGAACGCTTTTGCGTGTACCATGAATTTACTACGAACAGCTGTAATTATTAAAAAATAATCGTTTGTTTAAGTAACCATAATATTTTCTTCATAATAAATATATTGGGATTTTGATGGCATGTTGGGCAAAGCCTGAGGGATTTATTACAGAAATTGTTGAAAGGGGTGTCTACACAAAAAATACTTCATTTTGACACATCCTTTGTAAAAATTCGTCCATTATTAACGGTGGAGTAGTGTTTCGTAGAAATCGCCTTCACGTATTATTGTGAAGAAGTTAAAATGTCATCAATTTCAACTTTCAACAGATTATTAGATTTACAATATCTTAAGAAATTCTAAAACTGAATATTATACGGATATCTGCTGACAGATCACAAAATAAATATATTAATAAATACATAAAAAACAAAATAATAATGATTTAGGCCGAAAAGCACATTTATCAGTTTTGAGTATTTTGATTACCGTAAATCTTTTCTTTCTAGGTAAAATCCGATATGTATGTTTGTTTGTCCTTTATGGACTCTGAAACCGCTCGACAGATTGTAATGAAACTTTCAGGCATTATTAAGCATTATTCAAGGATGGTTTGTGTGAAGTTTGGTGCAGATTCGTCAAAAGGGCTCTGCCCCAGTCGCTCTGGAGTTTCCCATGTTAACCTTATGAGTACCTACTCATATATAAGAATAAAAGAATCTAAACATCTGGTTTAACTAAACAATTTGATTCTGCAATGTTCAATAGCATTAAAAAGTTAATAGGTTTACCAACAGGGTGCAGCACTCTTATTTTATAAATTTATAACAACAGCTAATTTGCAACTAGAAGGTGAGTGAGCGTAGCGAACGAACTTCAAACCTTTAGGCGAGTTAGCGTAGCGAACGAGCTAACCTGAAGACAAGTGAGCGCAGCGAACGAGCTCCAACCTAAAGGTGAGTGAGCGTAGGAAACGAACTTCAACCAGGACGTGATTGAGCCATGCGAACGAGTTCATCTTGAAAATGAACGAGCATTGACATAAAACCACATTAGGACAGGACGATGTCTGTCGGGCCAGTTAGTTCATAAAAACAATTTTTGGAAAAACAATTAGAAAAAATTTGTTATACCCGGACAGGTCTCGAACTCGAACTGGATACCTTCAACTTATGAACCTCTTGCTTTACCTCTGAGCTATCTGTGATTGTTGATATTACTATAGTATTCAAGCGGTTAAAGAGGAGCCAACAGCTGCAATGGTCGCATACTTTACTACACTCATCTCCATTCATATTTGGCTTAAAATACCTACTTTGTATGGTCGCCATTTCATTGAAAAGTATAAGTAAAGTGTATAATATGTTTAACTATGATTCTGTTGAGGCATCAAGTTGTTTAGTAAATTTTTTTAGGGGTTATTTAGGGGTTTTATTACAAAATACCTAACTGTATTAGATATTAAGCTTAAATAGTGATGGCACCATAATTAATTACAGTAGATGGGTTTGTGGTGTGTTGTTCGTTCTCAAAAATGATCGGCCTATATTGAAAATAAATTATTACCTGAACAATAGTTAAAGGTAAGGTAACTTCTACTCTTATGTGGTACCTACCTAAGTTACACTAGTTAGATATATTTATTTGTTCTGAAAATAATAATGCTTTATTTAGTAGATGAGAAAAAAATACTTAATTAATATTTGTGATGCGTAGTAGCTTATTGTTTTGAGACTAAGGTAATTAATGCTTATTAAAATAAACTCAAAATCCGATAGCTTAAATGCAAACAATTACAGTGTATTTGTTTATAACCTAAAAAGCGTCACGCCCGAAAACATTGCTAGCCTAGCTTAAATGGTGTTTATCCTGCGTCATCGGATGAGGTAATTTAGATAACGGCTAATCATTAAGTAGTCTAATTGAGTACACATCTCATGTACTTACACCATTGGCTGCACTGATTTTGATGATGATATCCACCGCCTGTTTACCAAAGTATCGGCCATCCCCACCTACGACTAATGTAGAACCGACCAGCTGAGGCCCAACAGCTGATAAAATAGATTGTACGAAATTCTCGGTGTAGTGTTGTTGTTGAAACACCTTCACGGCTTTTCTCAAACCGCTAGTTCCCGGTTTCTGGCCGTCGAACACTTTTGTAGGCACTTCCACGGATTTCAACGCCATCCTGTTGCGGTGAGGCAAAGAGTTCAACTGCCTTTTTGAGCGAGAGCGATAACTTTCAAGGTCGTTCAAAGACAACACTGCGTCACGGGCAGAGGTTAAGCGGCGCGCGCACAGATGGCACTGGTGTCGCCGGGCGGGACGTCTCGGGTTTCAAATGTTTCAGCTTGAAACATCCATTGTTCATTGTTGTTGTTTCATTGTTGAAGATCGCACTTAAAGCTACGAACACGATGTTTTGAACATATTTAAGATACTTTTCTTCAGTATGAATTTATAACTGCACAGCTAGTTTAATCACACATAGTAAATTTCTTAATTCTTTATCCTTCCCGCTGCTGTTCAGTATCCTGTTTCCCTTCTCATAGGGCTTCCGATCAAATGTCCACGGTACTTATTGATTAGTACAACTGACAGAGTTTTGTAGTTTTGGGGTCATTAGCTTTTTGGGAGAAGGCAATACTGTATTTAACAGTAGGTATTGGAAGTTTTCTTAAATTTTTTTTTATTTATATATATATATATATTTCACCGATGATAAAAGCCGATACATAAAGGATTGCATTTAAAAGATGCATGCAAGATACATGCAAGATGGATGAAAGATACATGCAAGATTACCGGGGTCAGGAGACTACACATACAGAACAGCGTGAAGGCCGGTAGTGAAATATTATTAATACTATTACTTAATTACTGTATTAATTACTATGACTATTACTTAATTGAAGTATGCCTAATATTTATTGGCGGAGATCTTCACTATTTTAGTGGATTTAAAGCAATACTCCTCATAGCAATCCTTATGAAAAAGTAATTTTTAGTTGGTTTTTTGGAGTTGTTTCTTTATATTTTTATTGAAACCGATTCACATAATAAAACACAATTTTCCTTGGATCTACGTCCAGTATATTTAATCAATAAATCAATTGCCTAAAATGCGGCAAAGAAATTTTCTCCTAAGCTACATTTCCAGAAGTTAAATCAAAGTTATCTTTATAAAACCAGGCCATTGTCATCGAACTCTGATGGCCATTGTTAAAATGTAAAAATTAATATTTTTTATATTGGCAGACTAATTAGTGCATCTATAAAAGATTCAGGTATTTGAACACAAAGTAATAAAATTCATCTGAAACATTAAGTTACATTATAAGAACAACGTTTTTGTGTCAAAATCATAGTTTCCCAAACGAAAAAACTCTGCGCCAGTCAGTAAAAGTACCAAATCCAACAGAAATGTTCAAAACAAACATATTCGTAGAGATACCAGTCAAAATCGTATATCTTTTAGTGACTCCAACCTAATTTACTATCATACAATTTAAATCACGCGCTCAAAGTAACCTGCATTATCGTCCGAGATAGCAGCGGACAAAATCCGTTGGAAACGTTTTATCTTCAGTCGACGGTCAGCGCTGCAGCTCAGCGTTCAACGTGTATGACACCAATTCATCAATATTTCCAGCAGCACATCGTCGACTGGCGAGTGGCGACCCTGAAGGAAGACAGGAGGGGCTGTTATATAACGTACACATCGCAGGCTAGGCGACGCGAAGACGCACCGTCACCGTCGCAGTACTGTGAAGCGCTAGGTCAGTGTAGTTCAGTTTGTTGGCCAAAGGACCAGACCCAGAGACCATGGCTAGAGCTAGGTCCAAGTCGGAGGAGTCACAACCCCTCCTGTCATCGGATATCAGCAGGACTAACAGTTATGGAGGGTAAGTACCTAAATACCTGTAATTATTATGACTTTTGTAATACAACAGACGTAGTGTGTACTGTATAACGTTTCTATACAACTTAGAGTGTAAACATAAGTGATAGATTGTAGTACGTTAAGGTAGTTTAAACTATTGTCATATACAGTACCTTATATTAAATGTGTTATGTACATACAGTAGGAATCCAAAAGTAGCACAGAACAGCGCGGAGGAAACCGGTTTCCCACTACACGTGGGATTTCACCGGTTGTAATCCTTTACCACATAGAAGAAAGGAACACCTTACTTTTCTGTGTTGTTACATAGTTTGTTTTACAAAACATTTGATTGGAAACCCATTTGTAAAATTAGGTTAATGGCGATTACTAATTGCATTTCACTGTGTGAAGTGAAGTTAGTTGTACGTAACGTCCACCAAGTCATGCAAATCATAAACATATGTGTTTAGACTTATTGAACACATTACTATAACATTTTGGGTTATTGATTTTTCATTGAAAGGTACAAAATAAACTATATCAAATGCAACTTTATTTTAAAACCAGTCTTAATTGAAGCAAGTAATGTGTAATTTAGATAAATGTATTTAGATAATTCATTACTGTACACTCATAGATATACTTTAGTTTAAAACAAATTGTTTGATAAATTTATATTTTTTTAAATTTACACTACAGTATTTGTCAAGTAAACAACTCAGATGATCCTTTTCGCCAATTAAAATAGGTACTTTCATTACGATCGTGATACCAACACCTGAACACCAAAATCAAATTCGGTTGTAAAATATAGGAAAGAAACTGAGAAGTTATTTATTAGCTATCGGTTTTTGGTTTTACTGTATTACGTACATCAACGTCTGAATATGTACCTTTAACAGCATGATGTTAATGAAAAATGTTAACGAAAAGTTCCAGAAGTTAATCAAAGTTATCTTTATGAAACCAGGCCACTTTTAAATGCTTTACATATACAAATCTAAATTAAATCTGGGCTAAGAAAAAACACTTAACCTGGTTAAATAAAAAAAAATGAAGTGCTACAATGGAATAAACAACTGACGATAACCTATGGTCAAATAACATGATTATTCGTTCTGCATTCTCTAAAAGATAACTATGTCAGAGTCAGCTGTTAATTTAATCGCAATTAAGTAACTTTGAGACCATCCAAAGTTGTAACATGTTTTTATTTGGCCTACTTATTCACGACTTGATAAGCTTTCAGTGGTATGGGTCTGTATTGGTAATTTTTAGTAACAAAACTTACTCAGCATTGCTGTATTTATTGCATTACTATAAGTTTATTATTCCGTATTTACTTCTACAAAATACAATAATTATTTCAGGGTGCTCAGTTGGGCTTTATTTCCTACTTTAAAATATTTTTCATCACTCTGTACTCGAAAATAGCCCATTTCCATACAGCTGAGGACGTCAGCACGACCAAAATCTGCACGATCGTCAGCCCGACCGAAATTTGTCAATCGTCAATTTCCATACAAAAAAAAAAAAAAAAAAAAAATAGTGATCAGCTGACTTTTTCTAACATAAAGATAACTTTCGCTACATAAACATTACAATACGCAAACAATACTTTGCCTGACCTCAACAATGTTAAGTTTTGATTTTTTTAAGTTTGATGAAGTAGTTTTTTTTTTCATCGTGATAAAAAAGTATCGTTCAACACTCGTGACGAAAGTCCCATTTCGGGGCTTGACAGTCTTTCTAGTAGTGAAATATACTATTAAATTTTATTTCAAAGACCTGTTTGGATTTCAAAGACCTGTTTGGTCCAAAATTTCCAAATACTTGTCAAGCTATTTTTAATAAAAATTACGTTTTCAATTTTCCCATTGGAAAATTCATAGTTGTTATTAATAAGGGCTCAAAATCTTTGCTCAGCAAAGCAACGGTGTCAGGCAGCCGAAATTATATTTCACATTGTTGATCATAATAAAAAGCCGATTGCGTAGAAGTTTTTCGTTGATAAAAGAGGATAAAATTCGCACTTCTGCATTGCGGTTTGAAGTGTGTCATTAGGTCATTATTTTTATTTCCGATCAAGTAGATGAAACTTCTATGGCAATGAACCCTGAAACTGTTACAAGGGAAAAACATCTGGAATCTAGGATGGCACTGACCCAGACTATGAATGCAAAACAATATTGTGACGGACTTGTACAATTTAGAGCAAGGCCAAATAGTGTTACATCTGTTGATAAAATTGGTTTTTCAAATATCCGACATGACCGTTAGATAATACCATTAACTTTGATGTTTACTATGATTATACTTTGAGCTACGTTGCTCAACTTAACTTTTTTTTCTTCTGAAACTGGTAAAAATTTAACGTGCTTCGTGCTAGCATATCTGTAGGCTAAGGTAAAATCAAGTACGGTAAATAGTAGGGGGTAACATAAGAAACGTCAAACAGGGTGAACTTATCAGTCAGTAGATTAAATGAATATGAGTATTTTAAGCTGGCTTCAAGACCTAAACATCCCTAAAGTTAACAATGTGGAGGCCGGTTGGTACATCTAGACCCTCATATGCATAGTATTAAATAAACCATCAACAGATATCTGATATGGATCTTCACAATTGAAGACTTTGTGAGAATCTTCAGAGAGCTCACGAAGACCTGTGTGCAGGATTGACGGCGTGTTTAGGATATCCGAAGTCAGTAGCTGTGATGAGATCTTCGTGAAGCCCAAATCCATCTCTCCCCCTCCACCGTCCAAAAAGTACCAGAGGCGAAGGTAAAATGGATATGAAAATAATGGTTTGTTTCGGGAGGATTTTGTGTTTGGAGGAATTTTGTTTGTGCGTATTTTCATGGGTGTTTCAATATCGAACATTTTTTATCAGCAAATCGCGTTAGAAATTCGAGATCCTAAATTATTTTTGAAGATTAAAAATTAATCACAATTTTTTCCTCATGTGGTTTTTAGTCTTTGTTAAATAAATGCTAGATTTTAGACTGTACCCTATTTAGAACAGACTAAGACATTTATTGATGTAGATGAACACGCGAGTTTTACTGAATCTTATACTTTTTTTTGGCATGAATAGCCTATTATTTTGCTCTTCTTGTATTGGATATATTCATGCATGCACCATAAACTGCATTTTGCGAGTCCTTCTTCTTTTAGCAGCATTTCTTAACAAAAAAATCACCATTTTTTCTTTTGGGTGCTCTTGCTAGTTAAAGGCATAGATAAAACATACTCTCTAGAGGTCTATGTTCATTATGTGTTTAACGTGTTTTCATGACTTTTACTGCTGACTGTTATAATTGGTTTAGAATACTAT